CCCACAGGCCTAGGTTTAAAAGAATCCAGACAAGTACTGGAGAAAAGTATGCAGTGGGCCAAAGCACAGCTTACAGTACTTCTCTGCCTCTTATCTCCATTTTTGCTTAGTTTTCATAGGCATATGGAAGACACATTATACTTAAGTGTTCTATCAGTTAAAATTACTAAATAACAAACTTTAGCAGTTTAAAACAAACTATCTCACACGAATCTGGCTCAAAATCTCCCCTAAAACTCTGTCAAGAGAAAGGTGTTGGAGTCATCTGAGGATCTGATCAGGGCTTAGAGGGTCTGATGTGAAGATAAGTCACTTAAAAGACTGGAGACCTCTATTCCTCTTCAGCTGTTGGAAAAAGACTTCTACAGTTCCTCAAAACATGGACTTCTCTATAGGGCCACTTGAGTGTCCTCAATACATGACAACTGACTTTTCTAGAGCAACTGACCCAAGCCAGAGCAACTAAGACAGACTTGTAAATAAAGAATGGGTTAAATTTTTTAAACACTGCATTTAATTACAAAAAAATTAAACCTTCTGTCTTTCAAGTCTTGTAGTAATGCTTGCTTAAGAGTTTTTAGAGGGAAGAGTTGTCTTTATTTTCTAAATCTTTGTCTTTTTAATTTGAATCTTCTAAGGCTAGTAAGTATGAGTTTATCATTGCATAGCAGTTAAGAGGAAAAAATACATATTTTTAAATATTTTTATAAACGTTTATGAAATTTATTAATATGAAATCATTACTCTTAAAAGTGAATACAACCAGAACCAAAGGTTCTGATGGATGCAGCTGAAGTTTTAAGTCATTTTTTTTAAAATCTGTGGTACCAGGGGCTAAACCCAGAATTTTGCACATGCTAGGCAAATATGCTACCACTGAACTATATCTTCAGCCTCGATCATAATTATTATTAATATTATTAATATAACTTATTAAGTTAACAAGATAAGAAACTATTTCTTGCTCTCCATCTTATTTGCATACACAAAGCATATACTCAGGCCCTTTGATGTCCTGACCAATCCTTTTAATATAAGAAAATTCATATGGAGTAGATTTGAGTTATTAACAAGGTGCTGTATGTTTTTAAGGTTCTACAAATTAGGAATAAGGTGAGCAAACTGTTCATCCCATTCCAGACCTAGCAGAGAGTGCCTACTCTTTCCCGTTAGCTGAGCTCCCTTTCAAAGTCCATACTCAGAGCCCTCACCATGCTAAGAGCTCTGCCAGAGCTCTACCCTAAGCTCAGCTTTGATAATAGTCTAGCTTTAACCTGTAATCCTATTTTAAAATGACTGAAATTCCTCTGCTTGGGCTAGTCTAAGGCCAAGTTCTTACCTTGCCTACTTTTAATAATGAGACATACTTACCTAGTAAATATGGTATCTCCCCTACCAGGTAAATAGGGGACATGCTTATCTCAGTGGCATCTAGCCTTCTGGAGTAAGGCTCTGTGTCACTGTTACAGTACCGATTTACAAGCTTGTGTCACTGTTACAGTACCGATTTACAAGCTTACAAGCTTCTCTGGAGTAACATATAGAATATGTTACTCCAGAGAAGAAAAGAACCCAAATCCCTGTCTTCTGTGACTCATCAAGTTTCATCCCTGAAGTGTATGTTCATTAGGAATATGGTAAGAAATGTTTGTTCTTCATTGCAGCCTAATACTTAATGCAGAACCCACTCTCTCCATGTGCATTCTTTCACTCCTCTATAGTTTGGTGAGGTGGCATAAGAAGACAGGAATTTTTAATTTTTGGCTTCTAATTTTTTTCATCAGAATTGCTATTTTCTGCATCAGACATACAGTTGAGGGACCTTGCAAGTTCCATTTTATTATTGGCTTATAACAGAGTTAGAGAGTGTTATCCTTTAGGTTATATGTAAGGAGTGACACTCAAATTTAAAGTTTCAGGCTTGACTCTGACATGTACAAGATGAAATTCCTACAATCTGACACTCAGAAAATGAATGAGCAACTATCCCTCTTGCGCCTTGGTTTTTATTGGTTTAAGAATTTGTATCTTATAATACCTGCGTTAAACACCTGGAGCTTTGCATAACTCAGATAGAATTTTGGAATTTATGTATCCCAGGGGAAGGCAGGCTGCAAGGACTTTCCACTAAAACAGACAAGCAA